CGCTTGAGCCCAGGAGTTTGAGGTTGCTGTGAGCTAGGATGACGCCACGGCACTCTAGCCCGGACAACACAGTGAGACTCTGTCTAAAAAAAGAAAGGAAGGGAGGCTGCACACTGATAGCTGCGAGCTCTGGCCTGACATCAAGCAGGCAGGACATCGGCACTGGGACTCCATCTCAGGCCGGCCTGGGATAGTCCTGACCTTCCTCTGTGCTGGCTGGGTGACTTTGGTGAGCAACTTAGCCTTACTAGGCCTCGGTTTCCTCTTCTGTAAAGTGGGGATCATAAGCCATATTTGATGGGGTAGCTATGGGGAGTCAGGGAGATGACAGCTATCAGAGTTGCTGCTCAGGGCTCAGGTACAGGGGCAAAGCCAGCCAGAGATGGGCCTAGGGAAGGAGTTAGGGCTGTTGACTGCTGGTAGGTTGGGTGTCAAGGGACCTGGATCCCATCCAGATCCTGGTGATTCTGGGGTTGTCTCAGGGTGGACTGGGCCACGGTGGGAGTTCACTGACTGCCCTGGCCTGGCCAGGTTGTGACTCTGGTTTTGGCAAGGCGACAGCCAAGAAACTGGACTCCATGGGCTTCACGGTGCTGGCCACTGTGTTGGAGTTGAATAGCCCCGGCGCCCTAGAGCTGCGTGCCTGCTGTTCTCCTCGCCTAAAGCTGCTGCAGATGGACCTGACCAAGCCAGCGGACATTAGCCATGTGCTGGAGTTCACCAAGGCCCACACCACCAGCACGGGTCAGTGACAACTTCCACCAGGGGAGGGCATGGCCAGATGGGTGGAAAGGGAGCAGGAACTGGAGTTTTGCTGCTGGGCTGACCTGAGGCTTCTCTCCCCTGCTATGTGACCCCAGGCCTATGGGGCCTGGTCAACAATGCGGGTTACAACGAAGTGGTGGCTGACGTGGAGCTGTCTCCAGTGGCCATGTTCCGCACCTGTATGGAAGTGAACTTCTTTGGTGTGCTAGAGCTGACCAAGGGCCTCCTGCCCCTGCTGCGCCACACTAGGGGTCGCATTGTGACTGTGGGCAGCCCAGCAGGTGAGTACCCTCCCCCACTGGGAAAAGGAGCCACTGTGCAGCAGAGGAGTGCTCTGGGAGCCCCTTGCCCAAGCTGAGCTGCCCTGCCCCCAACCTATCCCCAGGAGACATGCCTTATCCGTGCTTGGCAGCCTATGGGACCTCCAAGGCGGCCGTGGTGCTGCTCATGGACACATTCAGCTGTGAACTCGTTCCCTGGGGGGTCAAGGTCAGCGTCATCCAGCCTGGCTGCTTCAAGACAGGTGGGGGTCTTGGCTGGGGGTGGGGCAGGCATGGGGCCTGGGGCTGGGAAATGAGGGGTGGGCATGGTCTTATGGGGGCAGGGGCAGGGCTGAGGAATGGGCATGGCTTTGACTAGAGGCATGGACCTGCTCTGACCTTGCTACCTCTTCCCCAGGGTCTGTGACAAACGTAGACCAGTGGGAGCAGCGCAAGGAACAGCTGCTGGCCAACCTGCCCCGAGAGCTGCTGCAGGCCTACGGCAAGGACTACGTCGAGCACTTGCACAGGCAGTTCCTGCATTCACTAAGCATGGCACTGCCCGACCTCAGCCCAGTCGTAGATGCCATCACAGATGCGCTGCTGGCAGCTCAGCCACGCCGCCGGTATTACCCAGGCCGTGGCCTAGGGCTCATGTACTTCATCCACTACTACCTGCCTGAGAGCCTGAGGCGCCGCTTCCTGCAGGCCTTCTTCATTAATCACCATCTGCCTAGGGCACTGCAGCCTGGCCAGCCTGGCTCTACCTCTGCCCAGAACACAGCCCAGGACCCAAACCCAAGCCCAGGCTCTTCCCCAGTGGTGGCTCGCTGAGCTGTGTGCAATATGTCCCCACCACTCCAGCATGGGAGGCTCCAGGAGCCCTCCCCTGGGCATTATGACCCCCCGTCTGCCCTTGAGCCTGGCCTAATGAACCCCAGTCCTCCACTGCTGATGCCCAGTCCAAGCCCAGTGAGACTGAGGTTTCCCAGTGAGCCTCGGGGCCTGTCCACTGCTTCATGAGCCCAAACAGACCGTCCTGGGCACAATGCTCTCACCTGCAGCTTGGAGAACTCAGCTGGTGGGGAGTTTGGTGCAAAACTTCACTGTAGCCTTTGACAGGACCCTGCAGACAGTGCTCTGCAAACTAAGAAGTGACTGGGTGGGCTGGGGACCCCTTGGGATCGTTCCTGGGCACCAGTGCCTCGGTGCTGCAATCGAAGGGTGAATCCCAACTGTCTCTTGACTGGCTCAAGAATTCAGGCCCCAACTATCCACTCCCAAGCCCCTCAAGCCACAGGGAAGCTGCATACCCTACTTTCCGATTGCCACTTCTTAAATAAAGTTTTATTTCTCCTAAGGTGGGGCAGATGCTGGAGGGGGTAGCTGCCAGGTTGGCTGGGTGACAGGGTGTGGTTCTGTGACAGAGGTTGGGAACTCCTGGGGCTCAGCAAGGGGGTGGGGGCGCTGGGCACTGACCTAACCGGGCTCCTCTGGTAGCCTCTGGTTCACACCTGCCCCTCCTCCACTGACCTCGGGCAAATCATTTATCCCTTGGTCTGGGTTTCTCATAGAGAAATGGGGGTAATGACCCTGAACCCCAGGAGTTGTAGGGCTCAATGAAGCAATCAGGGAGGCCAGGAGCCCTCCCGGGCCAGGACCCAGCTCCCCAGGCCTGTGTCTGCACCTGAGCCTGCAGCAGAGGGAGGGGCTATCTTCCAGTGACACCCCCACCCCGAGGAATCCGGGCTGCTGACAGAGGGAGGTAGAAGGCTTCAGCAAGGGCAGGGTCATGAGGGAAGTTAGAGGTCTGGGAGGGGTACGCGGGCCCAAAGGAGGCAGCAGACAGCCAGGCTTAGAGAGGGAAGTTTTATTGTCTCAGAGGGGCAGAGCTACTTCCGCCTGCCCCAAGGACACACACACTCTATCCTTCCCATGGGCCATGGCTCTGGGAGTGACCCACAGAGGGGAGAGGAGGCTCACCCTGCCCCCAGGGGTTCTCAGGTTAGGGAGGGATATGAAAGTGACCACATGCTTCTCAGACACGTCAGCGGCTGTAAACATAGGGCTGAGGGGGCCTCCTTACTCTGGAGTGGGTCTTGGTTCAGCCTTGGTAGGGGGAGCAGGTGCCCAGCCCCTTTTCAGGCCTAAGAGCCGTCTCAGAGAGGGTCAGGGAAACTGGGCAGTCACTAGGACAGTGTGCCATCCCCAGGGCAGGCAGATGAGCCATGGGCTTCATCACAGACCACACAGACACACACAGTGCACTTGGGAGCCTTGGGCCAGAACGCTAGAAGATGGGGATGTAGTTGTCGATCTTGGCGCGGTGGCGCTGGGCGATGCACTCAGCAATCCACACAATGTTGCGGCACTCCTGCTCCTTGAGCTTCACAAAGGCGTAGAAGACACCAAAGTGGAACTGGTTCAGGAAGGCCAACTTGTTCAGCTTCACCTGCAGGCAGACACACATGTGATGTACTGGTGGCCATGGCCACAGAGTTGGGCCTAAGCCGCAACTCCTCCCTCTGACCGGCAGGCCCTACAAGAACTCTGCACTCACCTCGTGCTCAAAGAATCGGTCCTCCAGGGTCTTGTCTCCGGGGTTGCTGCCTGCACCCTCGAAGAGCAGCTTGTACTCCTGGCCGGGGGAGTGGTGGGATGCATTAGCATGAGGGTGCCGTGGAGTGCTGGGTCGGGGTGTGTGGTGCCAACATGCCCACCCACCATCCTGCCAGCCAGGGCACTCACCGGGTAGTAATCAGCCACGTTCTTGACCTGCTCATAGTCGTCAGCCCTAGCCAGCTGAGCCAGGCCCTCAGGGTAGAGCCGCCCGCAGTGGGGAAAGAGCTTGGCACGGTCCTCCTTGGACAGCTCTGTGCCAAAAGAGTTGATGGTGATGATGAAGGCGCGGCGGTCTGCTTCAAACTGTGGGGCAGGTACACAGGCAAGGAGAGAAGGAGGAAGAGGGAGGCAGTAGCCAGTCAGGTGGCAGGGCTTTCGCCTGGCCAGGGCTAGCAAGCACCAGCAGGTGGGAGGGTGGGCAGGCACTCACCTCCAGGATGGGGCACATGGCGTCGGCTGTGGTCCCGCCCAGTAGGGTGCAGAACTTGTAGAAGGACTCCAGGTAGGCCTGTGTAGAGCATGGAGCTTGCTCAGCACAGCAGGGAGACTCAGGGGGCCTTGCTAGGCCTCCCCTTCACACGTGACCTCCTCCCCTTCCCAGCCCCTTTCGCGGTGGGGACAAACAGCACACCCATAGATTGGCCAGGGTAGCCCTTATGGCAAAGCCCTGAAACACCCCAAATTCCAACTGTTACTCAGCCAAGCGGCAGTTGCCTGCTGCTGCCCACCCAGGAGTGTCAGAGCAGTGTCTGGTTGACTGTCTGCTTCAGGGTGCAGTGTCCCCACTCACTCATCCAACAGAGGGCCAGGCTCGGAGGGGGCGTGGACAGAGGTCCTCGCCGTGCTGTTCTGCCTTCCTTTCCCCCTAATTTCTCCCAGACTCCCCTTCCTCTGCCTTAGAAAGCCAGGTGTCCATGGGCTGGGGAGGGATGCTTACTCCTGAGAGTTTACAGAGACGGCCTGGACTGAGTGCCCCTGGCCCTCTTTCTAGCCTACCTTACAGAACACCACCTCCTCCCAACCCCCAGGCAGCCGCTAGGCATCACACGGCAGGAACCAAATTGTCAGGCCAGTTCCTGCTGAGGGATGGTTATTGCCTACATGGACGTCAGCTCCACAGTGCAATGGCCAGGCACGTGGGCTGGCAGTGAGAACAAGTACTTCCTGCCCAGGAAAATTGGATCTGCTGGGCATGAGGAGAGGACGGGTCAGCCTAGGCCCTAGGTGCCTCCCAATACTCACAAAACCAGCCAGGCTTCCTTCCCCACACCTCCACCTCTCCAAGCCGAGGAAGGTGGATGGTCTTACGGGCTCCAAGGGGAGCTCCCTTGCATGGGCACCCTTCACTCAGACCCCCCACGTCCCATCTGGTGGCACAGTCACAGAGAATGGCTACACAAGCTAGAGACTATTCTTCTGAGTCGGGGATGAGGGCTGGGAGGCATAGAACACTTCCCATGCTGAATTCTGACCTCCGAGGTACGAAGACCTTTTCACCACCCACCAGCTGACTTGGGCTCATAGGCTCCACTACTTCAAGAGAGATGGGACCCAGGAGTCCATGAGCCCAGGCCGGGCCTGGCCAGCAACACTGGGCAAGCTGGGCTCAGGGGAAGGCCTGAGGGTGACCACTGGGGTCACAGGGAACAAAAGTCTAGGACAGGTCAGGGAGTAAGAAGCCTGGAAGGGAGGACAGACCCCAGCACAGAGGATCCCAGCAATCAGAGGGCCTGGGTGGCAAAGACAGCTGCCTCCCATGGCTTAGTGGTGCCTTTTAGTCCCTCTAGGAGTCTGTCTGTGGCCACCTGTTCCCTGTAGCTAGCCAAGCTGGCTGTGCCAAAATCCTGAGGCCTGCCCCGGTGGGGCCTACAGTTCCTATCTGTGGGGGAAGCTACAAGCCAGGTCTTGGGCTCCATGCCCTGCTACCCACCTATTTGCTTAGTCAAGCGTACCAATCCCTGGAGAGGCCGACCCCAGGGTCAGGGAGGCTGGTGGGACAGGCCCAGACCCTTCTTTGGAGGCTAAGGCAGCAAAAGAAACCGGCAAGACCCCAGAGGCCCAAGTACCTTCCCACCAAGGTCACCTTCCCACCCCCGCCCTGTCCGTTGGAGTCTGCCAGCCCACGGCTGCTGCACCAGCTGCCTACAGTTCCCCCCCGCAGGGCGGCTGAGGGTCCGCCTAATCTCCCATCTGTGGCCACCGGGCTGGGACATTGCCTGACGGGCGGGCAGTCCTGGCACGGGGCCCACAGTGTTGGGTTGGTATTTATGAGCTGGTGCCTGGGCAGCCCTCGCCAGTGACTCCAGCTAGAACCAGTCAGGCCCGGTGAGGCTGTGGGTGAGGCTGGGGGGGACAGCCGCACCCCTCACCCTGTCTCAGGGCAGGGAACCCAGCAATGGGCCAGCTAGGCAGGCGGGAGTACTAGTACTAGTGCGTGCGCGCGCGCGCGCACACACACACACACACACACACACACACACACACACACACACACACACACACACACACACACACACACGTGCGCGCGCGGGTTCTCTCTCTCTGCTGAATGGCTGGCCTGCTCCCTATTAGCCGGGTGGCTGAGAGCACTTGCTTTTGCAAACAGGCTGAGCCAGGTGTGCTCCCTGGTGCTGCTAGTGACTTACTACGTAGCTTTGAGCAACCCACCCCACTTCTCTGAGCCCTTAGTTTCCTCATTTTACAAACGGGGATAATGATACCTGCCTTAGCTCCTAGGGCAGTCCTGAGGATAAAGCAACAAACTTCCTACCTCTGTTCTCATCCCCTTTCATCTGCCCTCCACGTCACAGCCAGAGGGGGTCTTCTGCACGTACTCTGCTCTATTGGAAACCTCTGTTGGCTGACCCTGCCCACAGGATAAAGTTCAACCTTCTACCTGCCATTCAAGGCCCTGGGTGACTCGATCCTATGCCTGCCTCTTTTCCAGATCTCTCTCCTACTGTTCACCTGGAACTGTCACTTTTGTAGCAAACTTCTGCCACTTGGCCCATGCTCCATGTTTTCCTTCTGCACGTGGTCTCCTGCCTACACCGTTGCAACCTCAGGCAGGCCCTTCGCCTGCCACCAGACCCTCACTGCACTCTGACCCAGGACCCTGCTGGGACAATGGAGGCCCTGGGCTCAGGCTGCAGCCAACTGTCAGCCAGCCAGCTCCAAGCAGGGCAGGAGAGCACCCTTACTGTGGGAAGTAG